TGATGACACAGAGACATAAGAGAGAGCACCAAAGATCCAGACCGTATTTCCCATGACCCCCGACCTGAAACCCCAGCTGTGTCAGCTGAGCTAGCTTACCGTATGTGGTCATGTGACCCAAGGGATGTCAGCACTATAATCCGGTTTACAGAAACTCATTGATGGGACACAGGATTAAAGAGGACCTGTGTGCTGCCCATTCTGGGTAATCCCCCCAATGTGCTCACCTCTATATTGGCAGCCAAAAGGGACTACACGGTACTTCCAGGTAAAGAGGAGCATATGACTCACTCCATGTGACAGCACTGGACCAATCACGGCTCTTCATGGCTCCGTGTAAGCTCTGACTCACACAGCTGTCACCCTGGGCAAAGCAATGGAGCGACAGGGGAGGGAAAGGAATGTCAATATGTCCCGCCGGGGAGGGCGACGCAAAAGCTAACCCGTCGTTTTACCGCCACGGTTCACTATAACCTGGATTTCGGGAGAACAGTGGGAATGGCGAGGAGCCTGAACTCACCTCCCATGTCTGATGTGATTGGAGCTCACACAACACTAAGACCCGCCCTCCACCACCATGTGACTGCACACAGGGCTGCTTTGCGGCAAGGGGGGGCGTGTCACATGGCAAGCATCATGTGACACCACAAAGTAGACCTGAGTGCAGTCACATGGCAGTGGAGGGCGGGTCTTAGCATTGTGTGAGCTCCAATCACATGTGCAGTTGGGATAATTTTATGGAATGATGGGGGAAGGGCATGGGAGGTGAGTACCGGATGGTTACCATAGACACCAGTCATAGGTCAGATAGGACAGGTCCTCTTTTACAGACAGCCTCTGATTCCTCCGTCATATACTATATATACAGACCTCCACGCACATCTATATACTGTATATACAGAAAGAGACCTACAGAGTATATATATATATACACACACACACATATACGTACGTACGTACGTACATACATACATACATACATACATACATACATACATACATAGAGAGACCCGTATCCCCCTGTACACACATCGCACACTCCGCGCTCCTCATACACACACACACACACACACGGACCGATCTCCCCTCCCCGTACCTTTCGGTTCCTCTTGCGGATCTTCCGCACCCTCTCCTGGAACTCTCCTTGCTGTTTGGGATCCAGGGACAGGAGGGGCCCCGCCGGTTCCGTCTGTTCCGACATCTTCAGAGCAACACGTGTGACACTGCCTCGGCCGGAACTGTCCGCACAGCGCCCTCTGCCTGCACTACCGGGGCACGACATCCGCCGCACAGCGCGACACCTGCCGGCCACATCTCAGAATTACAACCATTTCAGACTCAAGTATAATGAGCGACACCACCGGCCACATCGCGGAATTACAACCATTGTTGGTTCAGTATATTGAGCGACATCTGCTGGACATGTCGAGAAATTGAATCTCAAGTATAATGAGCGACACCTGGCGGCCACTGTGAGGATTTATATCTCAAGTATAATGAGTGACACCTGCTGGACATTTCGAGGAATCACATCTATTCTAGATCTAGTTTAATGAGCGACACCTGCCGGTAAGACCCAAGTATAATGAGCGACATCTGGCGGCCACAGCTTGGCATTACATCCATTATATTAGATTAATTGATCGACACCCAGCGACCACTTCGTGCAATAACATCCATTGCAGACCCAGTATAATAGAGCAACACCCACCGACCATTCTCCAGAATCACATCCATTCGAGACCCAAATATAATGAGCGATACTGCTTGGCATTGCACCCCTTGCAGATTCAAGTTTACTGAGCGGGTGTAAAGGAAGTATAATGTGCTGCACACTACTTCCATTCCAGGCCAGTGACACCTGGCGGCCACTTTAAAAAATGACACCCAGCGTATAAATTATAATTAGCGCCCCCTGGCGGCTGCTCAGATGTATAACATTCATTGCAAACTGAGTGTGATCAGCGCCACCTAGTGGCCAGCAATCAGAATTACAAAGTTTTTATTTCCTGTGTTGTCTTTAGCAGAGTGAATATAACATTCATTTGACAAATCCTGTTTCTCCCAATGTTGTCAAATTGAATGTAATTAGAATGCGATAACTATTCTACATGTTATTGTATCGATTTCTCTGGTGAATATAAGCAGCGCTGGATACAACAAATGCAGAAGGGAAAATACCCCGACATTTGATTTTGCCCACAGGAGCGCAGCAGTTAGTGATGTGCAAAGCGGTTCATCTGCATGAGCGCTCCTCAACGGTTCGCTCACTGAAAAGTTCTGGATCTTTTAAATGGCTCATGGTTCACTAAACCTGTTTTTACTATAGTAGGAAAGGAAATGAGACGGGGGTGTATTTTGAGGGAGGGAACGGGAGTTATTTTAAAAGTAAAACCATTGTTTCCAGATTAAAACAAATTTATTTTAATTTTTAAATAATAATTTCACAGAAAATATAATTTACAAGAAAAAATACACATGTTTAAATCCCTTAGGTAGGCGATCTTCTGATCAGAGTCTTCTAATTCGGATAATTTATGAAGAGTCAGGCAGCTCCTGAGCTTCGGTTCACTTGCGACTCAGCAAGTGAACCGATTCAGTTGAAGATCTGATTCATGTGAAGACCTGAACCACACATCTGACTCACGAGTCTTAGGCTGGATTCACACCTCGGCGTTTCCTATGTGCGCGTTTTACGCGCGTTTTTTCCGGACGTTTTTTGAACGTATTGTCCAGCGTTTTCGCACACTTGAAACCGCGCGACGTACGTGCGTTTTTTGATCGACTACAGAGGCGTCCAATGAAAAAGTCTGTAGCCATGTGCGGAACGCACGTTATAGGCGCGCTTTTAATGATGAAAGCGCGCAAACAACGATTTCAGCCCGTTCACGTCGAAGTCTATGGCCGCAAACGCTCTGCAAAACGCCCCAAAGAAGCTCCTGTACTTTTTCTGGCGTAGGGCGTTTTGTAGCGCGTTCATACGGCCTGTAATACGCCCAGGTGTGAACCATACCCATAGGAAATAATGGGATTTTGGTGTTTGAGCGTTTTGCAGAGCGTACGAACGCGCTACAAAACACCCAGGTGTGAACCGGGCCTTAGACTCCATGTACTGTGAGTCAGAGCTGCTAGAGGGCTGTGACTAGTTCAGAGATGTGATTGGTTGCAGTGAGGGGGTGAGCAGGGCTGGCAGAAGCCAAGTTCTGCTCTGGAGTCATATCTCTTATTCATTCTACACTGACATTCCCCACATTTCAAAGAACCGAGAACCGGCGCTCATTTTCACTGAGCCACCGCTCATTCAGTCATCTGAGAGAACCGCTCAATAGATGCAGATCGCTCATGAGCGCCCCGTCTCTACTTTATACATTGTGCAAAATATCCCTATAACTAATGCAGGGCCGCTGGATGATTCACACAGGATGAATGTGCACTTTTGCTGTATGAATAGTTATGGAATTTATTTATAGAACAAATGTCTTTATCTCAGCAATCTTCCAGCCGTGGCATCCTCCCTGGGGCAGCTCCTCAAAAAGTCAGGGAATCCTTCAGCACATGTAAAAACATAAAAGCACAGAGCGCCCCTTTCATGTCTAGATAGGGTTGCCACCTTTTCTTCAAGCGAAACCCGAACACGATGCGCAGATATTTTTTGGGGGAGAATGAGTCATGGCTTATTCATATGTAAATGCCGCCACCCATTCATATGTGAATATCACAGTTGAGACTATTTTCAGTGGGGGGCCAGTAGCTCCTATATTCATTTTGGTTGCCCCTGTCTGCCTGACATCCTGTGTCCGGGTTTCTGCTGCCATGAAATCCGGACACAGCATTCAAAACCCGGACTGTCCAGGTGAATCCTGGACAGGTGGCAACCCTATGTCTAGAACATTTATTAAAGTTAGATGTACTCACAAAAGCACTGTCATATATGCGTAGATATGTAGTGGGCGGCCTGCAGGAGCGTCACAATCGCAATCACAAGAACCTCCCCTCACTGGCAAGAATTCATTTTAGGATTTTGTTTATATTAGAACTCTTATTGACCGGGTTCCATTCAGCGCCTTCACGTGACCACGCTCCTTATCTACAGTCCAATGCCTCCTCCACTGCTGGCAATACTGCAAAATCACATCTTTTATATGTATTCCCTCCAGGAAGGGGGGGGGGGGGGGGGGTTTTTTTTGCTTCAATACTTT